TCAGTAAGGTTATAAGCTAACGTAAAATAAAAATAAATTACAGTCTACCACCCACACATTTTCTCCTCCCTTATTGCATCGTATAGTCAATCTCTGAAGTCACAGCTTGTCTCACACAAACTGATAAAAGAATCTTCCTGAGAAAGTCATAACACATCAGAAACAGTCTACTAGTAACACTGTCTTCTTGTCTGACGTTAAGAAGCTCCTTAAGTATGGCTTTAAAAATTCCCTGGAGTGATGATTCCACTGGCCGTCGGAAATATGCTCAGTGTAAACAACCATCTCTGCTATCACCACAGCCAAGACAGTGGACCGACACTCTGACCATGTAGGTAGCATATTTGCACACGGTCCAAGACGACAAGAAGCTCGAGCATCAAAACGTTGGGTCTGGAAAGAGTCTAGTAGTAAATGTACTTGTGAAAACGTCTGAACAGATGTAAAGAAAATATTAAACTAAAGAGTAAAGTTTAATATTTAGAGCAGAATAAGAAAAAATCAATATAAAACCCTGACTCCACAATAGCAGATGTCAGTTAAATGTACTAAAAATGTGAAAACAAGCAGAAGATGTCTAGATCATTTAAATATGTAAACATTATACTTGACATGAATCTTTTCTGACATATCAGCTCATCAGCTGCTACCCCACTGACACTATTAATAAACCTTTGGGTTCCTGTGAAGCCTCCCAGAGATGTGTGGTTTCAAATGGCCCGCACCAAACATCTGCATTTTTCACTTTGTACCATTTTGCTCACTGATCCTGCAGTTCTGCTCTTGACAAGGAGTCTAAATCACTCCCCAGAGCTTTAAAGGAGGCCACACTCGGGCCCATATTGGAGCCATTTCCTGTCTCTGGAGTGGGCAAAGGGTTGACCCTTAGTGCCCCATCTATATAAATGCACAAGAACACGCTCACATACACACATGCACACACACTATTTCAAGACAACACCCCCACAGAGAGAACAAGGGGAGTCACTTACCATCGCGCTGCTCTAAGTGAATTACGGAATCTTTCAATTGCCTGCTATGCTGCATCTCACTGGAGAATAATGGCTGAGAAAATATAATTATATTTAATAGCTTGCGATATTCTGAAGCCCCAGTGAATACTCGAAAGGCTGAGAAAAAGCAGAATCACAATTTTGGGATAGTGTGGGGAAGGTTCGAAAATGAAGATCCTATCAATTTTCTCGCAGTTCGCTACAATAATAAGAAACAAGATAGTCAAAGAGGCCGACCTGCACGAAAATAATTGGAGAATAAAGAGTCACATCTGCAACGTTCTCCGTGGATTATATTGTTTCTGTGGTTTGCGCTGGTGTGAACTTCAACGTAGGGTGAAACAGAAGCTTCGTGCAATTCGTAGTACGATTATGATCGCAGCACGTCCAAGGACACGCTGGCTCTAGGGTAAAAAAGAAAGTGAAAGACGGAGAATAATGAGGTGAAAGAAAGCCAGCAGAGAAAAAACAAAGTCTACTCCAACATCTGCTCCGGCAATAGGCACAATTACGGGAAGTGCTTTAGCTTTGCCCCATTCACAGTGACATGAACAATAAACACAGCAGTGAGGCAATACATCCATGGTGTATAATACAACTGACCAAAGACCAATGTAACTTCTCTGCAGGGGCTTGAATTCATGTATTGAAAAGCTGAAATCTAGGACACAGATCCGTAGGAAGTCTTCTATCACGTACATTCGACTGAATAAGCTGTTGTCCCACAATCAGGCAAACATAAGAAAACAGACTTTAAAGAAGAATGTTAACACACACTAATCTTCCTTTTTAAAGGTTTCCTAATTTGAACAGTTCAAGTTAAATAAACAGCTGGAGTTACCTTCATTATTATTGCACGTTAATTAGCCACATTTTGTTTAAAGCAACTTTAATTGGTGATTTATAATAAAACTGTATCATGTGAAATCTATCTGGCAGATGCATCGTTGTTAAAAAACCAGCCACTAGGGATACTCTTTTGCGTAGTTCTAGTGCCAGTCCCAAGCCCGGATAAATGGTGAGGGTTGCGTCAGGAAGGGCATCCGGCGTAAAACTTGTGCCAAAACAAACATGCGGATCACAAATAGGAGGGGTAGTGGATATATTGGCAGATGATCCGCTGTAGCGACCTCGAAAAGGGAGCAGCCGAAAGATGAAGAAGAAGAAGATGCATCGTTGTTAAAGAGCTAAGCTCATTGAAAGTCCTGCCTCCTCCATGTTAGCAGATGGCACCAAACTAAAAAGTCAAAGTGCATGTTAATAGAATTTTTCTCAAAGATAGTTTCTGTAATTTTGGTAGCTCTAATCACACCGAATTCACATTGGTCGATTGCGTACATCAGCAGGACCTCATTACTGCAGCTCCATGGCTGCTACTGTGCAGACCATGTTTATAAACAGTCTATGGCGATGCACGTCAATGTTGCAATAAATAAATAAATCGGTTATTAGGTTTGTGTTTGTCAAAGGCAGATTAAACAGCAGCTACTGTGGATTTAGCTGCTAAACGTAACAAAAATACAAGCAGAGAGGTGTGGTCAGAAAAGTTATTTGACCGATATTTGTAGTTTTTGCTTAAACTGTGAACAAATGAACTTAACTCTGTGTTAATTATAGAATGTAAGTGTCCCTTATGTTGTAATGCACATTCTAAGAGTCATTATTTTTTGTGAAACGAAAAATTTATAAGGTTCTTTTTCTATTTAGCTTCCAAATATGAGTGATCCTCCCTTTCCTCTGTTCCCCCCCGGTAGATTTCTACAGGAAGCCTTAAACAATGGGACCACCAGAGGTTCTGAAACCCAGCTGTAAGAAACTCGATACACACACACACACATATCAGTACAGACATATGTGACCACGTTTACAGTGTGTGCAGAGAAAGTCAACAAGCAGTCATCCATTAACTTGAACATTAAATACAACCTCCCACTGTTTATAAGATAAAACCACTGGGCTGACAGTCGACCAACACTGCTCAATGAGGAGACCAATGATTAGCTCAGGGAGACTGAGAGCAGCTGACGATGCAGCAGCACAGCAGAGTCATGCTGAACATTTGGTTTATTTGCTCAGCAGAAGTGATGGAGTAGCTCAAGCACCCCTACTCAGTTAAAGAAAAAATAACCAATGGTTGAAATGATTCCATATATATTTACCTTAATATTGTACTGAAGCACCGTTCTGAGGGCTTCGATTTTATCCTCTTTTACACTTCACTACATTTTAGAGGAAAATACAGAGTAGCACTTTTTACACTACTGCACTTCCACATTAAAAGATTTTCCACTTTTCTTTGTTTTCTATCTTTCTATCTTTGGATCGTGTTGAACAACTTTCGGTTTTGGACTGGTTGGATAAAAGAAGACAGTTAAAAATATGGTCTTTGACTTTGATTTGGACATTTTATATTATTCTTTAAATGTGCAAATTGTTAATCTAGGCATATTGGAAACATGCTGTGTATATACAACAATATAACAACATAACATTCAATGCCCCATTTGTCTGCATTAGAAAATACTTTCACTCTTGATAGTTGAAGTACATTTTCCTGATAATACCCCTGTATTCGAATGTTGTTGCATTGATACTCTTAAGCATGTAAAAGTTCTGAACACGCAAGTTTGGCCACTTAGTTTACACAAAAGTGTTGTAAATACCCAGTTTCAGAGCAGATGTGGCCAGTACCTGCTAATAATACTACCCAGATGACTTCTTGTTCTGTTCACTAGTTACGGTCGGAGGCCGACTGATGCTCAACCCAAAACACAAGATCTGTGGTCGAGAAAGTCAAGTCAACGTGAACATGATGAGGGGGCAAGAGGACCTTATGATCTTAATCATCATCTGGTTTCATGAGAGGAGGTACACACCCACACCCACACACACACACACCATATATATGATATCCCCTCTGAGGACCACAGCTATACCTGAGAAGATGTGACCCACTTATGCCCCCCTCTGCCCCTGGATTCATATTCACCACAGACTCACACACCAAAACTAAATCTGTGAAAAATTAACTTACTCATAAAACTGATCCGTGAATTCTTTAACACACTGAGACCAAAATTAAAGCTGCGTTGTTTCAGGTCGTATTATTTGTAAACTTTTGGAGAACATGATCCTTTACTAACAGAGAAAGAAAAAAAAAATTCTGTTCAATGTGTGTGTGTGTGTGTGTGTGTGTGTGTGTGTGTGTGTGTGTGTGTGTGTGTTA